CGAATAACTGAATGTCATTTTTTTCACCTCAATTTGTTAATGATAATTGCAATTTACTATTACTGTAAATTCAGAAGTGGGTTTGCTTGGCCTATTCTAATTCAAAAAAGTTAATCTCAAGTAATATACCAAAAATTAAAATTTAATGAGCGAAATGGTTCAAATCGTTCAACTAGTTTGTGGAAAAGAAGTGATTAGATTACAACAGTATAATGTGCGATCTAACATTTCATCAATTGATTTCAATATCAATTCATAATCTCACAATCGTCATGTGAAAATATTTCTGGAGCATGTTATATTAATCGCTTCATTACTCTGATAATGCCAACTGAGTTCACTTGTAGATGAAACCCATTGGAAAAGGAAGCAAATATGACAAAAATAAAATGAAAAAAATCATGGGCGATTTAAGCTCGGAAAATGGAAAGGGGTGAGTTATTAAAAGTAAAAAACGGTTTATCGCGATTTCCGGCAAAACTACAAGTCCTATGGAAAAAAAAGTTGAATGGCAGAGTTGTAGGTGATAAAAAGATCTACAACTTTTTTCACATAAACTCAAAATTTATGCGAAAAATTCAAAAAACCAATTTTTTTGATATTTTATTTTTATATTCTACTGAAAAAAGCACCCTGATTTTCAATTGAAAATTCACACGTAAAAATATGTTTGAAAAAATATCGATGTGCTTTTTGTTCCTTAAGATCTCTACTCTTTGATGGTGTGAAAAAGTATACATTACCATTGCAAATTGTCTCAGAAAATGCAAAAAAATGAAAAAACTCGAATCTGAAAATTGTTCTTTCATCATTATGTTATATTCTGAGAATTCAAATAATCATGATATTATTTTTTCAAGCCATGTTCTGGAAATGTAGAAGATCTATTTTTCACGTCTAATTGTTTCAAATATGAATCTTTCAAAAATATTGTTGCATTTCTGCATTGTTTTTCTGGTTGCGATACAATATCTGGATTTACCGAAAAGGGAAAAAAAAGTATGATAAATTCCTTATTGAATGACAAAAATGGCCAATATATTTTATAATGAAGATACGAACAATGATATCAAAAAATATCAAAAAATGGAATACAATTAAACAAAACTGTTCGTAAATATTGAAATGACAATATAATATCACTGAATCAATGAAGATTTCGAAAATATCTATTGGTAAAAATTACATCTTTCATATTGGCAAGTCTCCCATCCATAGAAGGTGCAGAAGAACAACATTGTTACAGGGCATTTCATCAGCTTCAAATTTGGCTGGGTAACGAACTGACAGCAACAGATAGAGGCTGGAAGGAACATTAAAGTGGCGTTATGCTCAATTTTACAGAAAATATGGCTCAAAACTATTTGTTGCACCTGTGAAACTGGATGTAACAGTCAGAAATGTGGCCGACAAAAACATGGTTTGAAATGCACAAATTTATGCTCAAATTGTCATTGTTATGAAAAATGCTTCAATAAAGGATTGTAGGCTTAAACGGCTGGCGTTAATGTTCTGATTGGTTTCCGGGTTTTGCCGTGGTCTTCTTTAGGTTTAGGTTTAGAAATTGTAACCAAAGAAGACCACGGCAA